GTGGGGGGGGGAGGTGACAGCTTTTAGACTGCCAGCAGGGAGGGAACAGGGACTTCAGGAGGCAGGCCAGCCTGGGCCACAGTCTGGTTCTTCTGTGGCTCACCCCACGGCTCGGAACAAGTCATCTTCCGTGAGCCTCAGGCTCAGCACCTGTGAAATCAGCTGCCCTTCATCTCCGAAGCGATGCCACAGTCATTCCCTGCACTGCATCGGCTGCCATACAGTTCAGGGCCCTGTCATCGCACGTACCTGTCGCACGCACCTTCTTGTGTGCCTGTGCTGTCTCCCTGCAGTCCGCTCGCTGCCATCCATCGAGACATTGCCCGCTCACAGTGACCTGACAGGACAGGGGAGAACTACCCTTGCGAGTGTCTGAAACGATAATGCTTTCCGGGAGGAGGAAGTGCCATCTTTCTCCCAAGGAGTGGTTTTGAACTCTTGACTTTGAGGTTAGCAGCCCGATGCATAGCCACCACACCACCAGGTTTCCTCACTGGCCCACAAGCCCTTTGAAGTCACCTGCTGTATCTAGCTCTCCACGGTGTCTTTGGGTCCTAGTTCGGGTCTTGATAACACCGTGGGTACCTGATGAACAAGGGCTGCATGATCATAATGATAAGAAACCCATCGCTGTTGATTTGGGTTCAGCAATCCCACAGGACAGAGGGGAATGCTCCACAGGTGCTTCCAATGCTGGAAGCAATGACAGTAAGGCCGCCACACCTTTCTCTCCCTGAGTGGCTGGGGTGCCAGGATGACAGACCGTTTGGTTGGCAGCCCAAAGCACTGACCCTGCTGTGCCACTCGGGCTCCCTGGGTAATTATAAACCAAAGGCAAAGCCAAATAACCACCACTCACAACAAGCAACAACTCAAGCCCATGTCATTGAACTCATGGCAACTCTATAGACAGTAGAATTGGCTCCTGCCGAAGGTCCAAGTCTGTACATCTTTGTGGAAGGAGACCTGGGGGCACAGTTGTAAAGTGCTCATCGACCGACTGCAAAGTTGTCGTTCGAACCCACCAGCTGCTCCAGGGGAGAAAAATGTGGTAGTCTGTTTCTGTAGAGATTTTCAACCTTGGAAACCACATGAGGCAATTCTGCTCATAATGAGTTGGGATTCAACAATAGGTTGATTTTTATAGAAGCAGGCAGCCTCATCTTTCTCCCATGGAGCGGCTGGTGGGTTCGAACCACCAATCTTTTGATTAGCCATCAAGTGCTTTAAGCAGGGCATCATCAAAGCTACTGAATAACCCCTGAAACAGCCAAAACTAAAACCCACTCCTTGCCGTTTGGCCCATGCCAACTCACAGCGGTCCCCTATGGAGGGCTTCCAAGAACAAGCAGATCACCTCATCTTTCTTCCGAGGAGCAGCTGGTGGGTTTGAACTGCTGACCTTGCAGTCTGATGCTTACAGCAATAGTCAACGGTGCCACCAGAGTTCCTACGGAATGATTGTACAAAACCAAACTCACTGCCACTGAGTTGATTCTGAGTCATAGTCACCCAAGTAGAACTGCCCCTGTGGGTCTTCGAGGCCGTACTTTGTGGGAACAACCAGTCTCATCTTTGTCCCTTGGAGTGGCCGCTGGTGACTTTGAACTGCTGGCCTTTTGGTGGGCAACAGAACTCACGAATTCCC